TGTAGGGAATTCACTTGCACCTCTAGTGATATGCTAGATGACATTAAATATTTTGGGAAATGAGTAAGAATTCTGCAGATTTGATCAGGCAAATCAAGGACCTTGTTACCTTTGTATGGAGAGGGCCTCCGTCTCTTTAGCCAGCAGGCCAGAACAACTAGAATAGCCATCAGAATGACAACAGAAATGACGCCGACTGCTTGAGCACCTCGTCTATTTTTTCCAAGGTCTTTTTGACTTTCTTGGTTAGAGCTGTTGCTTATCTTGTTCTCTGTGTCTAGAATAAAACAGAAATAGGATGTAATGACATGTAAATTATTACATTTCCTTCCAGGCAGTCATCTGACCACATTTTGTACAAAACTCCTGAAGGACTGAATACTTGTGCTATTTGTATCATTGTAATTCTAGATCTATTCCTTTGGTGCAAGGCATGTCTCTAGCTGACATGGTCTGGTAGTACTGTAATACAAAACCACTTGTTTCCTGCTGCGTCATTATACCACATACATTCCTCCTTTCTTTTCATTCTTACTTCATCCCAGCCTTGGCAGGCTGATACTTTAGCTTGCTCGTGGACTTGATTGAAAATAAATCTATGTAAAAGCTACAATGTAAATGTGGCAGCATTCAGAAAAATGAGTGAAAACCTGTTCCTCTGAAGTTAGTAATGAATTCCCACTGGCATTTGTGGACTTAAGGTTTCAGAACACATCTCTAATTCTTTCAGGTGTGGTAGTGTTTTTAGAAACAATTAAAAATACTAGAAGATAAGGGTCTTTTTCACAGAATTCAATATGACAAAATATTATTGGGAAACTAATGACGTGGTTGCTTATTTTAAATTTGGCTTGAGTGCAAGGGTACATTGCACTCTACTTTGCAATTCTTGCATGCAGTTTTATTTCCTAGAAGTAGCTTAATCAGTATCACTTGGCTATGTTAATGCTATTAGTCACATTAACCCAAGATTGTGCGATTTGTTCTATTAAAGGCACTGGGTGGGCCGGGGAGCCGAAGGAAGATTTCTTCATATCCTACCATGGCTCTCTGCTGTCTCTCATTCATGTGTGGGAATGGCTGATTTGGGGTGCCCCGGTCTGTCTTGCAGCTCTTGGCCTCATCCTGCCCACCACAGCCCTTACTCAGCTGCTGCTTTTCCAGCCTGGCATGTTCGGGTAAACTAACAATGGGAATTTAGATACAGCTCCACGAGCAGTCAAACCTCCTCGCAGTAGAATCGGAGAAACATTATGGTTGGAAACGACCTTCAAGATCATCAAGACCAGTCATAAACCCATCCCCACCATGGCTGCTAAACCATGTCCCTAACTGCCTCATCTACCCGTTTCTTGAGCACTGCCAGGGATGGTGACTCCACTGCTTCCCTGGGCAGCCTGTTCCAGTGCTTCCCACGCTTTCCGTGCAGAAGTTTCTCCTAATATCTAACCTGAACCTTGCGCAACCTGATGCAGGAGCCTGAGAAAGAAAGGTGTGGTGGGAAAAGGGGCCAAGAACTGCAGTGAAACTGAACAGCCAACTCAAGATAAGCTTTCTCACTCCAGATCGCTTCTCTACACAGCTGTTTAGAAACCACAAACTGCACTATCAGTACTATAGCTATAACTCTTTTTTATAGTTACTAGCTTTCTAGCTTTCTGTTCCTAATAAGAACTGTGTGGGTAAATATTTCTTTTTATTACTGATCATTAAAATCAGCAGAAGGTAGTATATTGTTCTTTTGATCTCATTTACTGTTTATTCTGTTGGGCTAACACCACCTGTTTCCTACAGGCCTACTTTAAATAGCGCACTGTGCTGAACTGCATTTGGGGACTGAAAATAGAACTTCATGAACTAAACAGAGAGAAAAAGAAACCGTGAGTGCTGCAAAGCAGCCAGGTGTGGGATCAGGAATCAGGGATCAATGGGTGTCACTTGGAAAATAATCCAACTCTCCAGGCTGTCCTGTCTCAGAGGGGCAGAAGAGTTAAGCCCAGTATTTCCAAAACTGCTGTCTCAGAAGCAAGGGTGTCTCAGTATTGTTATATGCGTTATGCTTGATGGGGTGCTCAGTTGAATTTGGAAGGTGTTGCAATTAAACATAAATTGCATGGCTAAAAGAAAAACTGAAATCTTCTCAGTGGTTTTCTGAACTGCTGAACTAACGTGTATCCCTGGTTAGGAGTGCATGCCCACGGGATGTACCCTGCTTGATATGCCTGTTATCTAGAAAACATGAAATACTATGAAGCAACTTACAGTTGGCTGAGAGGTTTTCCTGTAATATTTCATTTTTTATAGCGCACTCTATCTGCATATTAGAAGTTGCTTTAATCTTCAGTGTGCTGAAAACACTGTAAGTGCCATCTGTTTGGAGGGTGATGTTTAATTCTGATGAATTCAGGTGTCGATTGTCCGTTTTATTTATCCAATAAACATTTGGTTTGGGGAATCCATTGCTGGATCTGCAGCTGAAAGTCACCTCTTCCTCACTGCTATTGGTATTTCTTATTGGTCCACTGAGTATTGGCTGGCTATAACTAGCTGGGGAGAAAGAAGAAAGAAAAGAGTCGTCAACATTTTTAAATGTGTTGAAAATTTTGTCATGGATTCTCAAGCAGAACTTCTGGGCTTCACAAGGTTACCACAACTTAAACACAGAACATCTGCAGATTTGATATGTAAGTCAGTTATGTCAGTGAGTTATCTGGAGGGGGCAGAAAGATGAAGCCAAACCCAAAGGAAGAGAGCAACCTGGTAAACTGCTCTATGCCAATCATTTGCAAGATCCCTTAAAGGCATAAAAACAAAACTTAAAAAAAATAAACAATTGTTAGGCTATATCTGCTTTTATATCTTTAACATTTAAATCAAATAGATTCAAAATCAGCAGAAGCACTGAAGTGTATTTCAGATTTATGGACATGCTTAAATGCTCAAATGGCAGCAATTTGAAAAATTAGGATCAGGATTTGGGCAAATAAGTGCAAGAAATCAAACTTCTCACCTGCTAAACTGAGAACTACTTCTTCGTGGTGAACCCGTTTGGTATACTCAGTGTTCTGCAGTACTATGCATTTGTACCTGCGGGCATCACTCTGGCTGACATTTAACAGTATCAGAGAAAAGTCACCGTTTTCCAATCTATCCCACAGCAACTGAGTCCTGTTCTTAAAGTGGATGCACTGCTCACTCTCATTGTCTTGGCCCGAGATCAGTGCGTATACCACGGAACACTTTTCCTGGGGATCATCTACTTGCCAATATACTCGCAGATTATCTAAGTGTAATTTTCCTCCTTGAGAATAAATGCAACTCAGTTTAGTATTGTCTCCAAGTTTACTGATGATCATCTTCTCCAGTGCGGTAACTACAGAGATAAAAAGAGAAAAAAGACAAAGGGAGATTATGCGGAGAATTTTACTTCCCAAATATATTCTACTACAGGTGAACTCCAGTATTAGTAATATCATCTTCACACGCAGCTAATTCTGGGTATGTGTGTGTTTTCCAAAGGGATCTTTACAATACAAATTCTCCTGATTCTTCTTTGAGTACCAACCACTCTTTCTGGCTGTTTCCACTTAGCTCCATGGACACACACGCGTGTTTCACTTTGCCATGAATTAAGCTGACCTCACTGTGACTCATTGCAGATGATTATTAACAAGTCCTAGCAAGAAAGGAAAAGGAAAAGGGAAAGGAAAAAGGTGATCATTAACACATTAAGAAAAATGTCAAATATAACAAGGGCAATCACAAGAATTCGCAACACTGCTAAGACAAACAGCAGTACCATTTAATGATTGAGATCAAAATAATTAGTAAGGGAGGAGCCCATGTTTTTATGAATGGACATATCATCGCAGTGATGTTTTACTGCTGCCCCGGGTGTGACTCTCTCAAATACACGCAGTGAGCAAGCCAGTGTGCTGAGGCGTCACAGCCGGTGACACATCCATCAGACACATCCATCAGGCCAGCACACTGCCTGGCTCAGGTGACACTTTTCATGGCTTCCTGGTGTGCTGAGGCTGTGTCTGCTCTTGGGAGGACTGAGTGGAAGAGGAGAGCAGTCTTGGTGAGACGGGTAGAGTGTGTGCGTGGGCTCTCTGGAAAGGGCTGGGGCAGCTCTGACTGCTCAGTCACTGTCATTATGTGAGATTAGGGAGAGAAAAGACGACAGGCAGGAAGCGTTGGAAATGCAGAGAACGTTTTGGTGGGAGATTACAATGTTTCAGGTAAAGGGGGACATGTCCCAGTGCCAATGCACTGGACTTGGAAAGGGCTCATCCCCATGTCGGAGTTACACTCACAGCAGCAGGTAAAATGAAGCCCTGGAAAACACTGCTTGGGAAGGTGAAGACACCTTCTTCACTGGTGTTGGTTAAGAGCAGACCAGCCAACATTTACCAGGACTGATTCAGATGTGGTTTGCCCTGATTTAAGGCCTGGGTGGGGGGGTTTCCTTGATGACTCTGTCAAGGTCCTTCTCAGCCACTAGTAACTAAGCAAAAATGGATAACAGGTATCTCTCAATATTGAAATCTTTATCACTGAGTAATGCTTTTTTTGAAAAAGCATTTAGAACTGCAGTAGAAGACCTGCTTGATATACACAGTGATATAGTGCTATCCATAAGAAGAGTATTGCCTTCATCTGTGCTCCTCAGCCCTTATCTCCAGCCCTTACTATCTCACTTCCAAGGTCTTTGGTAGCAGAAGATGAACGTGCATGTCTATGATGCGGAAAGAGCAGTTCGAAGAAGAGCATCTACAAGATCCCGTGTTAGTCTCTGTACTAATATACAGGCAGACTGTGATTTTTGCTTTTTTTCCCCATGATGCATGTCACAGTTTTTCACATTGAGGAATCTTTAAGTGTCTTGCTGAAAACATGTGGTTGTTTATACTGTACATATTATGGATACTCTCCATAATTTGAACAAGCACGTTCAGGAAGGGCAGCCTGACTCTATTTAAAGTGTTCTTTACTTACCAGCTCTCAGACTATGAAGAAACAGTAACAGAAATCCACAGCTGAAATGAAAAACAGACAAACAAAAGTATTACATAATGGTCTTTAAGTTCTCTGTTGTTTACACAAGCAATAAATACTATATTGACTGTTTCACTGCAGTAGCAGAAATAGATAAATTTGGTATCTACAGCGATCCCTACTATGTAAATTTGCAGTCAGTATTTGCATTTTTGACAGCTGCAAAACTTCTGTTCAAACGACATCGCTTTGTGGCCTGGCCACAGCCAGGAATAGAAGTAAAACACACTAATATTGCAATCAGAGCAGAAGTCATGAAGCTGATGTTGTGCCTTTCTTTCCGGTTAAAATGAACCCTATCTTTTAAGAGCACATCCTGGAGTAATATTTACTGGAGTATTCAGGAGATTTACTGGAGCGATGGGTCCTCAGCGACACTGGAATCACAGGGCAGGAGAGCGGCTGCACAGACCCACATCCAGGTTTGAAAGCCCTGCATGCCACCTGCTTGTAGACACTAAGTGAATTGCAATTTTGTCTCCTTAAAGCAGTTAACTACGCTGCCCGCCGTTTTGTTCAGTCAGTAAGTAAAATGCGTGAACAGGAAATGCTTGACAGCATGGAGTTGTGCAAAGCTTTTATTGGAAAGACTTCAACATGCTTGATTACTCCAGAGGGGCAAACCTGGAGTTTCCCAAGCAAGTTTCACATGCTGGATGCTGTAGGATAGCTCAGTTTTCCTAAAGCCTTGGTGATTTCTCTCTCCTCTGGTAAGATTTAGGAAAAGATAGATGTCCTGCGTCCACCCAGGAATGAGTGTGGGGTCTCCTGACCAGCCTGGCTCCCTGGGCTCTAACCTAAGCTCTCTCTCCCAGTGCCCTATTTCTCAAATGATTTTCCCCCATGAGCTGCACTTTACACCAACTGTCCCCTCTCATTTCAAGAGCCACTGCCTATTCCTTGCACTTCCTGGCCCCTTGCCCATCTGGGCATCAGGTTTCCTCCAGCACCTCCCTGGTGCAGCGTTTCTCCTGCCTAGACCTCATAGCACCAGTTCTGGACCCATTCTGGACCCTCTACTACTGTGGAGAAAGGTCTTTTCATCTATTCTCAAGATATTTGTCACCTACCCAAACGTATTTGTCTTCCCCTGGGTAAAGCAGAGGGCATATTCCTGACACAGAAGCCACCCTCATTTGAAGGCCCATCTCTGGAGCATGAGACAAGCAAGGCAGTTTACAGAAGAACTGGTCAGAGTTGTATTAATTTTAGACAATGAAAACCCTCTTTTTTTTGCTCTTCTGTGCCCTTTAAAATGCCTTCATAGATGAGGTTTAAAAACTTTAAGTGGATGTCCAGGGTAGCATATTCCTGCCCTAACACAGTTTAGCAAAACCTGTGAGCAGCCCTAAAATGCATCTCCTAAGTAGGCACATCCAAAAATTCTCAAGAGGCAGCTCTGTTCACATTTCTGGCAGTGACTTTTGGTGCGTGCGGTTTTATATTGTGTGCCTGTTCACATTGCTTTACTGTGCAGGAACCATCACTCTCATGCCAGCCTCTCAGATGTCTTTCCTGAAAAGTTCACCCTGTTCTTAATCCTGCGGTTACGTTTTTTGTTTGTTTGTTCCTCCGCCCACAAAACAAACTATGGATATAATAAGACACTTGAATTAAATAGAGAACAGCAATTGACTGTGTTTTATGGGACTTTTGAGGGAATTTCCCACAGGAGTTACTTGCTGTTTGCAACCAACCTTTTGGTAAGCCACTAAGGCAGAACCAATTAGTTAATCTATATTTACAAAGTAGATCTTGATTTGATATATCTGTCAAGGTTGGGCAGGTCTGGATGCTCAGCCTCCTACTTGGAGGAGGTTGCAACCACGGTGGTGTGAGGGCTATGTTGGCCTGCCATGTTCCCACCTCCCCCCACCCAAGGAAAAATTTAGTGCTTTGGTTCTTTTGAAAAAAAAAAAAAAAAAAGGGGGGAGAAAATCATGTCCACAGGAAGAGCTTCCTTTCACCGCTACGTGTACACGCTGCTCATGAGGCTGTTGTTTTGGCAGCGCGCTCCATTAATTCCATGGCTAGCTGGACTAGCTCTTTTTTTTTCCTTTTTTTTTTTTTTTTCCCCTCCTGTCTTTTCTAAACACAGGTTTCTATCATTCCTGTTTTCCAATTCTTTCCCACACCTTCCCTTTCTATTTTTCTTAAATGCTATGCGAAAAGGGAGAAAGTTGCACTTCCTCTTTCATATATACTTGCTCGGTGAGATTACTCTTCCTCCTTGCATCTCAACCTTGTCATACAGTATTTATTTTAGAGTTGAGGGATGTCGTTATTCCACCCCGAGCAGCAAGACAAAAGAGGCCTCCCTGCCTGCAAGGAAACTTCAGGCCTCCCCAGTTGAGCTTTACGGATTTGCTTTACCCCCCGACTCGAAACCACAAAGCTGTTCTCACGTCTGCGGCGAGGCGCTGCCCTGCACCTGCTCTCTGCAAGGCCCTTCCGCAGCTCCC